CAATGGAAGCTATCCACCTTATTAGGAAGTTGGTGGAGCAGTACAGGGATAGGAAGAAGGATCTGCACATAGTGTTTATTGATTTGGAGAAAGCGTATGACAAGGTTCCTAGGGAGGTGCTATGAAGATGCCTGGAGGCAAAAGGTGTGACGGTTGCTTACATTAGGGTGATTAAGGACATGTATGATGGAAATAAGACTCAGGTTAGCACATGGGGAGGAGACTTAGAGCATTTTTCGGTTGTTATAGTGTTGCACCAAGGGTCTGCGCTCAGCCCATTCCTATTTGTCCTGATGATGGATGCACTGACATACCATATTCAAGGGGAGGTACCATGGTGTATGTTATTTGCTAACGACATAGTTATGATTGATGAGACGCGAGGCGACATCAACAAAAGGCTATAGGTTTGGAAACATGCCATTGAGTCTAAGGGTTTCAAGTTGAGCAGGACTAAGACAGAATACCTAAAGTGCAAGTTCAACATTGAGCCGACGGAAACAGGATTGGACGTGAGGCTTGACTCTCAGGTCATACCCAAAAGGGGTAGTTTCAAGTATCTTGGGTCGATTATTTAGAGGAATGGGGAGATCGACGAGAATGTGACTCACCATATAGGGGTGGGATGGATGAAGTGGAGGTTAGCATTTAGAGTCCTCTGTGACAAGAAAGTTCCATCGATACTCAAAGGTAAGTTTTATAAAGCGATGGTTAGACCGACCATGTTGTATAGGGCTGAGTATTAGTTAGTTAAAAACTCACATATCCAGAAGATGAAAGTAGCAAAGATAAGGATATTGAAGTGGATGTGCGGGCACACTAAGATGAATAAGATTAGGAATGAACATATACGGGTGAAGGTAGGCGTGGCCCCCATAGATGACAAACTAGGCTTCGATGGTTCAGGCACGTTCAAAGGAGAAGCCTAAATGCCCCGGTGAGGAGGTGTAAGTGGTTGGCTTTGGTGGGCACAAGGAGGTAGAGGGCAGTCAAAGAAGTATTGGGGAGAGATGATCAGGCAGGACATGGCGTGGCTTTAAATTACCGAGGACATGGCTCTAGACAGGAAGTTATGGAGGTCGAGCATTAAGTTTGTAAGTTAAGAGGTAGTTGAGCATATTTCTATAGCACTCCAGAGTGAGGCTAGTCTATTAGGATTTAGTCTTAGACTGCTAGTGTTAGGGTTGAGTTTTCATTACTCTTTCATTCCTCTTAGTGTTGGGCTTTATATACTGGTTATTGTTTTTCTTTTCAGCTATTTCCTGGTTTTTGTGATGGTGTTATTTTCTTCTATGATACTAATGTATTGCCTCTTTTCATCTTCTTAAGCCGAAGGTCTTTTGGGAACAACCTCTCTACGCCTCGTAAGGGTAAGGTCTGCATACACACTACTCTCCCAGACCCTACTAGTGAGATTTTATTGGGTTGTTGTTATTGTTGTCCTAAAAATCCTATAAAATCAAAGACAACTAAATTACTAATTAAAGTTATTTCTAGGAGAAACTTTAAATAAGGCAAAAATTACATGCTCAAAGTCGCAATTATGGATATTGTAGGCGTGTTAAGGTATTGAAGGTTGAGGGGCTATACGTAAGATGATCAGGGGAAGAGCGACCGGTCCTGACGAGATACTTGTGAAATTTTGAAAGAGCGCATGTAAGACAAGTTTGGAGTGGCTTACGAGGTTGTTTAATGTCATTTTTAGGACTGCAAAAGTGCACGAGAAATAGATATGAAGTACAATGATTTTATTGTATAATAACAAGGGTAATATTCAAAATTAAAATAACTATAGGGATATCAAACTATTAAGTCACACTACAAAGATTTGGAAGAGGGTAGTGGAGATAAGGGTGATGAAGAGTGTATCTATTTTTGAGAACCAGTCCGGATTCATGCCGGGATAATCAACTACATAAGCTATTCCTCTCGTGAAGAGATTGGTGGAAACAATATAGGGATATGAAAAAGGGACCTACATATGGCATTCATCGACCTAGAAAAAGCATATGATAAAGTCCTAAAGGAGGTTATGTAGAGATATTTGGAGGCTAGAGGTGTACCTTTCTCTTATACTAGGGCGATTATTAACATGTAAGACAGAGCCAAGACGCCAGTGAGGACAGTAGGAAGAGACTCATAACACTTTCTAGTTGTAATGGGGTCGCATCAGATATTAGCTCTCAGACCGTTCTTATTTGCATTGGTGATGGATGAGTTGACGCGGCACATCCAAGGGGAGGTGCCGCGATACATATTATTTGAAGATGATATAGTGTTGATTGACAAGATGCGAGACTGTGTGAAAGCGAGGCTAGATGTTTGGAGGCATACCCTGGAGTCTAACAGTTTCAGGTTGAGCATGACTAAAATAGAATACTTGGAGTACAAGTTCAGTGACGTGACTTAGGAGGTAGATGTTGAAGTGAGACTGAATACACAAGTCATCCCCAAGAGAAAAGGTTTTAAGTATCTTGGATATATTATCCAAGATAATAGAGAGATCAACGAGGATATCACACATCGTGTTTAAACAGGATGGATAAAATGGAGGCTCGCGTCCAACATCTTATATGACAAGAATGTACCACCAAGACTTGAAGATAAGTTTTACAAAGAGGTTGTCAGACCGACTATATCTTATGGATGAAATTTTGGCCAGTCAAGATGTTGAAGATAAAAGCAGCGGAAATGAGGATGCTGAGATGGATGTGTGAGCATACAAAGAGAGATATGATTAAGAAAAAAATATTCGAGACAAGGAGGGAGTGGCTTGTGTAGAGGACAAGATGAGGGAAGTGAGATTGAGATGGTTTGGACATGTGAAGAGGAGATGTACATATACTCTAGTGAGGAGGTACGAGGGTTGGCTATGGTGAATACAAGGAGAGGTAGAGATAGGTCGAAGAAGTACTATGGGGAGGTAATCATGCAGGACATGACATATCTTCAGCTTACCGAGGACACGATCCTCGATAGGAGGGTGTTGAGGTCGAGGATTAAGGTAGCTGGTTAGTTAGTAGTCGAGCATTTTTATTTTTCATATCGATATCTCTTTTCCTTACTTATAGTATTAGTGTCATTCTCGTATTTTCCATTCTTAGATATTATTATTACATGTTGTTTACTTTGCTTGGTTATCTTATTTTGCTAGTTGTTGTTATTACTTCTCTTTCTGTAGATTCTTCACTTTCGTATTTCTTTATCATACATGTTGTGACCATTTTTTTTCTATTGTCCCTTTTTTCTTATTTATTTATTTATTTATTTTATTTTTATCGTATATTTATTCTTTTTCTCCTATTTTTCTTTGAAATAGTATCTTTAGTAAAAATAGATCACTTCTTTTAGATATGACTTATGAAGCAGTTTTTAAATTATATTGAATGATTGTATTTTGATATATTTGAATCATCACGCAAACAATAAGTAATACTAGATATCTATTATTATTATTGCTTTTGATAACTATATTTTTATATTGATTAAAATTTTAATATATATTTTTACTTTATCTTTTATATTCTAATTAAATAAAAATAAAAAATTAATTGAATTCTCTTATAATAAATATTTAAATTTATTCCTCTCTTTCAAATAATACTAATTGTATACTGAACATTTCGCAATTTGAAGCTCAAAAATACTTTTTGAAAAGATTGATCAAACACAATTTGTTTATCAAATATTGCAAAAAAGCACTTCTCAAATGAATTGGTCAATTACAAACCACAACCCTTAAAAGTATTTTTTTTTGAAAAGCTCTTTTCAAAATAAGTAATTTTTAGCAGCTTGGCCAAACATGCTCTTACTCAGTTAGTGGGGACTATCTTCAGTCCTCCTTTGATCCCATTTTAGATATTCCATTCATTTCATTAGATTTTATCTTTTTGGTGAATCTCTAAGGGGTCGTTTGGTTGAGAAATAAGTTATCTCATGATTAATTATCTCAGAATTAATTATTTTGGGATTAGTTGTCCCACCCTTTCATGGGAAAAAACACTACAAACCCGGGATAACTAATCATGAGATTAGCTATATCACGATTTTATCCCAATCAAACATGGAATAAACTTATCTCAAATTTAATTTCGGAATTAATTGTCCCTTTTCCCTCTTACCAAACGAGCCCTAAAGATTTTATCTTTGTGGTGCTATCTCTAGATTTTATTTTGGCAAACCAATGGGGTGCACCAGCTCTTTGGACCTCTACTTTTTCTAATGCTCTACAAAACATCATTAAATTTCTTAATCATATAAAGAGGAATCAATATGTTGATCCTTGAACATTTGTTTGCACTTGAGTTTGGATTGCAAATTCATCTCGAATTTCAAGGCAAAATTTTAAAATTACTTGTGCAAAAGGGGAATGGAATTTGAGGGAACTTATAAGTGCTCTTAAATCTTTCATTTTATCCTTCCCTAAGAAACATCAACTATGTGCAAAAATATATATTATTTCTTCTGTCACATTTTATATTTAACTATTATATATGATTGTACTTTTTAAATCAATTTATTATAAAAAAACGTAACCTAAAATACATTATGTGAGGTTTCTTCATAATCAGATTTTACTTAACAAAAATTGAGAAATTGATGTATGATTTTGTGTGTTTCAGCACTTGTACTCTAACATCATTCTTTTTTCGGGGAGAAGAAGTATTTATTTTTCATTGATTTGTCATAAACGTTCACTAATGAAATCATTCTTAATACTTAATTCACTAATCTCTAGTCCGTATGAAACTATTGTACTCAAATGAATGATCAAATGTCTGAGATGTTATAACACTCATGTGAGTGTACAACTCTAATTTTGGTAAACATGTTTAACTGAAATTTGTACAACTCGTGAATTGTAGTAGGTGCTTGCTACCAGATTAATTAATTAATTAAGGTACTCACAAGTCACAAATTAATCAAACACAACATCATTACCAAATTAAATATTACAAAATTCATATTAGATCTTTTGACATTTAATTTTAGATTGACTGAAGCAATTGTTTTAGATTACATTCCGCGGACTGTTGTGACTCTTGTGACAATTGACTCTTTATAGATACAATACAGGCGTATATATGCGCGTGTAATTTCCAAGAGTGAGTGATAACTGTATCAGCAGAAAAAACCCTCAAATACTCTGCAATTCTCAGCTCATTCCCTCTTCAATCAGTACAACGAAATCTGCAAAAATAGATTCGGATAAGAAGAGGAAGAAGACATCGATCTCTTCAGCAGATCGACCGTCGGACAAGCACAAGAAAAAGTCCAAAATGTCCTCATCCTCCTCCGGCGGCGAAAAAGTCAGGGCTTCCCATATACTCATTAAGCATCGGGGATCACGTCGTAAGGCTTCCTGGAAGGATCCAGAAGGCCACGTCATCTCCAACACCACCAAAGACGCCGCCGTCTCTCAGCTCAAATCTCTCCGTGAAGACATTGTCTCCGGCAAAGCTAAGTTCGATGACGTGGCTGCTACTCATTCCGACTGTAGCTCCGCCAAACGCGGCGGTGATCTCGGTCAGTAACCCTAGACTTTAAAAGTCCTTTATTTTATTTTTTTGGTGATGAATTAAGTAATTTATATACTGTAGGAAAAGCACTAAAAGTAAAACAATAAAAAGTACAAATAAAAGTATCCAAAATTGATAAAAAAAATTAAATTTAAAAGCATTTGAAATTATATGAAAAAGTCTATAGTAAAAAAAATATATGCTTGTAAATAGTAGTAGTGTCGTGTAGAATGAGACAGAGTATTTGAGTGAACTAAATCCTCTTTTTTCTTTTTGCTAGTTATTCGAAACTTTATAGAAAAATGGGTGAAGTATTTGAAGAATTTATACTCTGAAGTTCTCCCTATGTCTTCCTAGGGATGATAGAGTTACCCGCAGGACTGTTTTAAGTATTCTTTTCCCTTATGAGAAACTTATTTACTTGCTAAAGCCTTCATGACCAAGTGGTATCTTATTTAATGCGTTCTTAGCAGGATCATCTATTCTTTGCATTTGGTTTTGGCAAAGTTATTCGACTGAATCTGTGGAAGCAAGTGATTGTTCTTTTAGTTCAGTTACCCTCAAGAAAAAGTAAATTTTGTGTGTTTGAGTTTGTTGATTTAGTTCCTTTAATTGTCATGCATGCATGAAATTCTTGCATAAGATTTTTTTTTTTAAAAAAAAGAGGTCATGAAAAGTTGCCAAGGAAAAAATCAAACTCATTCTTTAAGCCCCATGGGAACATGTATCTAGAGACCCTCAATATTGTTGTATAATATGTTTTTTCCGTAGTTTATACTTAGTTGTAAAGGGAAAAGTTGGTCTGCGTTTTCTTTCAATTTCTAGTCCTCCCCAGTGCCACCTCCCATTATATTCTGAATGGGATCTCTGCCCTTTCTTTGGCTTTCACATACTTCCCATAAGAACTAATACAACAACATGGATAACTACGCCTCCATCCTGAACTAGTTGGGGTTAGGTATATGAATCAGTTTCAGTCTATTTGGCTCATTTCATTTCAATACTCAATAAGTTGTCTTATAATATGTTGTGGTTTTCTGAAACTCAAACTTATCCTACACTGGTATAAAAATCTCGTGCCGAAAGGAGATAAAAACCCTCCACAAAAGAAGTAGTGGCATTACTGCTTCCAGCAGATTGGTCTGAGCTACAATCGTCGTCTGGAAGTCTCCTATCTGCATTTAGATGGCCATCTTCGAGGAATCAATGCATTTAAGTGCAACTGTATCTCACTTTTTCCCAGACACTTTCTGCTTCATAGAGCCTATGAGTACCAATTCCTACTGAAGGATTGGTGTAAAAATTGAAGACATCGAACTCTGAAGTGATGGATTCTTCTTGAATAGTTGAATATTCAGTGCCCGAGTTTGGAGGCCTTGTCTCTATGTTGCAGATAACGAGCAGTTCCGGTTGATTTTTGTGTCAATTCTACCCATCTATCTACTTATCTAAATCTCCGGGAGCAGGGTAGTCTTCAATCTCTAGCCAGATAGTCTCTGCTTCTTGACAAATATCATCTTCCAACCTTGGTGAAAACTAATTAAATGAGGAAGTGGGGAAACTAATGCTTCCCACTGGAGCTATAGATATAATCTGCTTCTCCCTCCGCCCCTATTTCTTTCATTAAGTATGTTAGAGATTTTGTGTTTTTGTAAATCATTTCTTGCTTCTAAAAAGTCAGTACCTCATGCTCTTCAGTGTCTTGTTTGCTATACTTTTGCGGCTGTGTTCAATGATAAACCATTCGAAATCTGAAAGGGGTTTTGTCCTCATTCTTAAGCTAGCGTTTGGACATAGACTTGGTTGAAATTTGGAAAAAGAGTTTTTGACGTTGTGTTGAAAAATAATTTTTGGAAGTTGAAATTGTGTTTGGACATGCATTTTATTTGAAAAAAACGTTGAAGTTTTGTGAGTGGAAGAAAAATTTCACCCAAAATCTGCCCTAAACCAGTTTTTGGGAGCTTGATTTTTTTTTTCAAAAACTGATCATATTCCATGAACAAACAATATTTTCAATTTTTTTTTTTTTTTTAAAAAAAAGTAGCCAAAATCTATGGCCAAATGTGAGCTTAGTCCATTTGTTTTCATGCTATTTGCCTCCATATTCTGTTCCAATTCTTACTTTTTTGTATCTTAGCATGTCATGTTCTTTATATATCTCCTTTATGTTGTGGTTATATGTCTTAGGACTCATGCTTTTAGATGCTTTCTGGTGTTTTTCCATGGATGTTGTTTGACTAATGCGACAATTAAAAAAAGAAATTTACTTGAATTGTTACATTTGAGTTTGTTCAAATTATGTTTAAATAATGGGTGAAAATGTCAGAAGAGTGTAAGGATGTCATAGTAAGTTTAAAACAATACAAAGCAATAACCGTCATATGTTATAATCTTTGAATGTTGTAATTTCGTCACCAGAAAATGGGTCAATATTTGTAGAACAAGGTACAAGAAAAAAGTGATAGTACAAAATGGAATTGAGGTAGTATTAATTTTATCCTCACGAGGATTTAAAATGCAGCAATCTAGACGAAGGATGAGTGTTTGATTGAATGTATTTCAATGTTCATAGCAAGCTGATGCCATCTTCCTGATTGCAGATTTTTTTATTTTTTCTTTATTTTTAAACTTTACCCTATATTCTGCACTTTTATTTGATATAAAGGCATTTTTGTTAATCAGCAGGGATGCTGTCTTAGTTTATCTTATTTCCTGTAGAACTGTACATTAGATCAAAACTGTGGCTTAACTTGTATTCTCATCTGACAGTTTATGTAATTTGGTGTCACAAAAACTCTTTCTTCATGCACAGACATCCGCTGCAATTTCCAGGCCTTTCTAGTTGGCTGAAAGCCTGAAACCATGAATAATTCTTTAACTTATCCACTCTGCATAGCATGTGTAAGGTTCAGAAAAACTTCCACAGTTTGTTGTATTTGGACACTATTTGGCAATTAACTTTTTTAACTAAAATTTGATTGTTATATAAAGTCCTGATTTTGCATACAATAGATTCTAAAATAGTTTGTCCAATATAGCCATTTGCTTCGAAAGAGAAGCAACAAACAGGATTTAATGGCCGAAACTATAATTCCTCAATCAACATCCTATGACTTCCTTTCTGATTACACCAAGGTAGGAAATTTGAAGTTCAAAATCATAATCTATGGGTGAGTAGACAAATTGGTATTTCCTTCATATGCATAAACAGGTAAATTTAACTTGCTAACTGTTTCATAGCGGCCTAATCCAGACCCTCGTATTGGTTCCATGTTAATTCTAGTGGTGTGTTTGTTGAGTTAGTGATCTGGTATAAAAAAAGAGGCATTTTTAAAAAGTCATTGTGACTAACAGAGCCGTTTGGCAGAGGCATTTCACATTCATTTATCCCTTTTTTTTTTTTTATAAACGTGGTGTTTGGGCAAACTTGCGCGCACCTCAACTAATTCCACAAGATACCTGTCACCTTCCACCCGCAACAGAAAGCAGGTAACTCTATCCACCAAGGCTTGGATAGATGAGAAGAAATCACCTAGTATTTTTTGCCTCCATTGGAATTTGAACCTGAGATCTCATGGTTCTCACCCACTTCATCACTAGGCCACCCTTGGGTGTGACATTCATTTATCCTATCATCTGTCAAGAAATTAAGGTTGAAAGAAACTTCCGATACCGTTACTACGGAAGAAACATTCTCCACGACTCCTAATTGTATCTTTCACGGGAGAGAATGCTTCTTCCTGCTCATGTATTAAGATGTTCCCATGGGGGTTTATTAGAAACTAGCATTCTCTGCTTAGTGAAGTGATTTTTAGGATATAAATGTGTCATTGAAAGGCTTTGAGGTTCTGGAGCTGTGGAATAGAGCAATCTGATACATTTGTTCTTGCTAACTGAACTTGTAGATTGTTTGAAATATGAGAAATAAATTATCCGCACTTGTCAAAAAAAGAAAAGGAAAATATTGTATCCAGATTAATGCACTCAAGTTTTGTGTAGTAGTTTTCTCAATAACATGTTGCCCCATTCCATAGCTCAGAATCTGGCAACAAATATTTTTAGTGTTGATGTCTCTCGTCTTCGGGTTCTTATGGCTTCCTAAAGGCCACAAAATTTGTCTAACTTTGCTTTATTGTCGATAACCTAGTTCCAGGTAAACTACTTATAAAAGAAAATATGTAGTTCTGAATCAATTAGCTGTTCATATACTGCTCTATCACATGGAATGTATCTGAATATAGAGATCGATGGTTTTAATGGACGTGCACAATTTCTCTTAGTTTCTTAGACAGCAATGAGTTATGTTTCATCAATGATCTTTTGAATTGGGTATTACTTGTATTGTTTAGCAAGTTATACAAACCTCTAAAGATTTCACATGCAGGTCCATTTGGCAAAGGTCAGATGCAGAAACCTTTTGAAGAAGCAACATATGCTCTAAAAGTTGGCGAGATAAGTGACATCGTGGAAACTGACAGCGGGGTTCACATCATCAAGAGAACAGCATAAAGCTGTGAATATAGTGTGATGCTTGTGGAAGAATGACTGCCCCGGTGATGCAGTATTCATCTTTAAATGTTGCCCACTATAATGCTTATATCGATAATTATGAAGATTATAGCGAGAAATTTTTTACTACTCGCCCTTTTATTCTCAGGGTTGAGGTGAAGATTTAAGAAAATTTGACCAACAAAGGATGAGACATATCTTTTGTTATTTGGTTCTCTTTTAGTGGGTCTTTTCTGGGCATTTTTAATATTTGCTGGAAACCTGTTTTGGCCTAATTTTGTTTGCTGCATGCTCTTGATGTGTTTTCTAGTTCTTACTAGCTTCTATAGACATGCTTCTGAGATTCAGCAAACCTATTAATTTGGTACTCCATTCGATTCATTTTATACAATAGCGTTTTCACCGGGCACAATTAAAAAAGAAAAAGAGAAAGACATGTGAGACATACTCAAAGTTCTCTTAGAACTTGTGATAAAAAAATCGTACTAGTATTTTTATGAAATAAGAGTGTCATTGTACGCTAACATATAAGCAACGTCATACAATAGGCAATAAGATATGAATATATTGAGGAGTAATATTAGCTATTTAGATGTATTATACAAATTTGTAACATTGAAAAATATTTTCTCGAAGATTTAGATAGTAAGGTATTTTTTTCTTAAAAAATAAATTACTCAAGAATGTTTCTTATCTCAAAATATCTACAAGAGAACATAACTAATCAAATCTGCATATTTTGTTCCACTTGTTTTTACGAGCCATGTGTTTTACATGCTTTTGACTTTGAAAAGGATTTTGTATATTTAATTTCTTCCATCTAGTTAACATAATTATACTCTTACAATAGAAAGATTATTAAAATTTGCTCAAGAAATTAGGTACTTTTGCATCTAGTTAACAGGAATATGCATTATATAATAAGTCATTAGGTATTGCCTAGAAAATTAAGTCTTTTAATAATATATTTATTTAGTATTATGTTTTGTTAACTATAATTTTTCAACACGGTAAATTAATTCCAATGAAATTCTTTCTAGAATGAGATAGAATACTCAAAGTGACAAATATATAGTAGACATCAGAATCCTAAATATTAGATCAGCAGAAATATTAAATTCTTAATTAATTTTAAAGTCCAAAATAATATTTATATGGTGGTTATTATTACCATTTATATTGAATACGTTTGGAGCTTTAATTTCGGTTAAGTGGTCCTCGAATGTGCCTTTATTTTAGCACTGTATTCATAAACTTTCCTTTTTGTAATTCAAATTTAAGATTATAAATGTAAGGTAAAGTAACTTAGAATTTTAGTAGCAGTTATGTTACATCATCAAATAAGAAAATAATTTGTGTAAGCTAAAACTTTTATTGATTTTAAAGTATTCAATATTAAAAAAATAATTAGATGGCTATTACTAAATAGTAGAAAATTGATAAGGAAATTATTAATAAGAAAATTTTTTAGTTGACTAAAAAGTTCTAAACATTAGAAAAATAATTAAATGACTATTCCTGAATTATAGAAAATCAATTAAATGACTATTACTGAATATTATGGATATAACCAAATTATTATTTTGTCCAATGTGAACTGTATTTTAACAGGATAAAAAAGATGAACGATATTTTGCTAAGCCGCTTCGTGCTTTAATATAGTATAAATATAAATAGATAGATATAGATAGATATTTTATGTTTACATTAATTTAGTTTAGAGTATTTTTGGTCTGTTAGATACATCTACGTCATTAGAAATTTGCAGAAAACTTATGGTGCTAGAAAACTTCAATATATATATATTCTATGTTTACATTAATTTAGTTTAGAGTATTTTTGGTCGGTTAGATACATCTACGTCATTAGAAATTTGCAGAGAACTTATGGTGCTAGAAAACTTCAGTATACATACATACATACATCCATACATACATACATACATACATAACGATTTGTTTTAGGGAAACTATCAGCTATATCCGTATATAAGTAGCTCATTACAAAATTGGCTAATTCATAAAATATTACTAATATTAGCCAATTAGCTATTTGAAGCAAAAAAAAAGTTAATTTTTTACTTTCTTTTGAGTGGGTTGTTATTAGAATAGATTGGGTACATTTTAAGGAGCTTGAATCTCAGTTTTGGGATGATTTGGTGAAGTTTTGAGGTGGTTTGAATTGAAAAATGGAAGTAAAAACTGAACATGAAAAAAATGATATGTGTATCACACTGTGTATTATTTGTGTATCACATATGTATCATATTTGTATCACATGTATATCCATGTATACCTATGTGTTAGATACATGCGTGATAAATGTTTGATACATGTGTCGCAAAAGAATTTTTTTAACTCGATTTAATTACAAATAGACAAGAGGGGTTGCTCTGATGGTAAGCAACCTCCACTTCCAACCAAGAGGTTGTGAGTTCGAGTCTCCCCAAGAGCAAGGTGGGAAGTTCTTGGAGGGAAGGATGTCGGGGGTCTATTTGGAAACAGCCTCTCTACCCTAGGGTAGGGGTAAGGTCTGCGTACACACTACCCTCCCCAGACCCCACTAAGTGGGATTATACTGGGTTGTTGTTGTTGTTGTTGTTGTTGTTGTTGTTGATTTAATTACGAATTGTGATACAAAATCAATTCAAATCACCTCCAATCTTTCTCATATTTTGTATATTGACTTATCTATATGTTTTCAATGAATTTCAACTATACCCATTGAAAATGTTCCTTTTTTGCTTAGATTTTTGGAATATTATATATATTTTTTTATTTCATCACCTTATTTGCTACTTCATCCATGAAATTTCCTTTCCGACTTGCATCTAATATTGCTAATCACGCTTAAAAATATGAAAGGTGATTTTTGCATGTGATTCCTTGAGAGAAAGAACTTCATTTATTTAATTTTTTAATTTTTATATGTACTTGACTAGTTTTGGTAAGTTTATGACTAATGGCTAGAGGTTGGTAAGTTGAGACTTCTTTGGGACATTTGTGTAAGTTTCCCTTTGTTTTATACATAATGTTTAGTGTCAGAAAAGTCAAAGTGAGGTCTCGGGTTCGAGTCCCTGGGTATGGAGTCGTCTTTGTTAGGGAGCGCTTTACCCCCTAATGTGGGAGTTCCCGACGCAAATCCGGATTTAGCCGGGCCCCAATATGGATACCGAACACCGAGTGGAAACCAAAAAAAAGAATATTGTATATGCCCAAATGAAAGGAAATAACTAGTAAGAACTCATAATCAAATCTAATTAGCTTAAAATTGAGGTATAATAGTTGACAGTGAATGTTGAATGTCACTAAAAAGTATAAAAATATGTTACTATAGTACGTTAGAAAGAAACTAAACACTTTGCGTACGGTGAAATCGGGGGGAAGGGGTCTGATTTCTCATTATCGAAGCACCTCAGAAGAGCATCTCGAAGCCTCGAAGCTACACGGTTATGATCGAGTCTTCTCCCTTGAGGCTCGTCGACACTCGGTCTTAGGGTAATATTGACCACGATCATGGTAGAAATGGGGATTTCCCAAGGCAAGCGGCCAGGGATGCCAGAGCCTAGAGAGCTACTCTAAGATCCGAGTCAAGGTGTCATCTAGTGGTCATATCTCCATATCTTTGTAATTAATGCTTGTTGTACTATGATGAGATATCCCTCCTATATAAAGGGGATCTCTATCACTTTGTAAGGGTTGGTCACTTCAGTTGCTCCACACAAAAATATATAAGAACTCTCTATTTCACTCTCTAACATATTCTCTTGATATTATAGCTTTTATTTATTATCTTCATATTTGTTCATCATTTATTGCTATCATTGGCCATAAAGAACTCTCTTTAATTGCCTCATAACTATTAGCCCTACCCCGATTACCCTCAATAGCTCGTAGCTGAGCCCTGAGATCGACCTCGAGGCCCGGAATGGACAAGCCGAGGCCCTGAGTAACCAACCTATCGGTTTGATTATAGCTCTCTACTTTACTGTATTTCGTCTCTAAATCTCATATACTTAGCATCAACTACTTAACAAACTAGCATAAGATAGATCACGTATTGTTAGAGTCACATCAACAAATTTAATTGTTATTACCATTTTCACGGTAAACACACTTATTATTTAAGAGTTTTGGTGAGATAGCTAACTGTTTGATCCAAAAATTAGTTTTAGATTAAATAATTGTATTTATATTTTCAGGGGTACTAGCAATACAATTGATTCTATCACGCCCCAAATCTGGGAGGCATGGCTGGCACCCGGTGCCGTATTGGCCCAACCGAACCACTCTGTAACTCATTTTTTTCTAACTATCATGGACCGACATGGCCACAACTCGTAATACATAACTATAAGTGGGCAAACACTGTATCAATGAACCATCTTCTTAAAACATGAATCCATATGGGCCGTCAAGGCCTCTGACATACTGTACAAAATTAACCTCTGTCTATAAAGCCTCTAAGATTATTTGACATCAAATGGGACAGGGTACATGCCTACCCATAAGTCTGTAGCAAAACTCTGACAAGATGACTTATAGACTCAGCTGCACTCCGAATGAGGTGAAGTCTTACCGATCTTTTGCTGAATGCTAACCTCGTCTACTATGAGGGCTCTTCAAACTGATTATCTATACCTGCAGGCATGAATGCAGTGTCCCCAATAAAAGGACTTCGGTATGAATAATGTACTGAGTATGTAAGGCAGAACTAAAACATAATCATAAGTCAACATTAATGAAAGACATATAAGAATCAACCTGAATCTCTGTATATGTATACTTACTATGCTTATATATATATATATAATGCTTCTCTTTGAGACTATTACCCATATCGTATAATGCATGACTACCCAACTAATCAGTGGTAACTGCCCGACCGGCTGTCGCACGGTGCTAAATGTATGATTGCCTATCCGATGGTAAATAATGATACATAATTTTTCAACCGGTGGTAACTGCCTGACCGACCGTAGCTCGATGGTAAATGCATGACTGCCTGATCGGTCGTAGCACGGTGGTAAATAAATATGCATGACTTCCCAACTAACCGTAGCACAGTGGTGAATGAATATGCATGACTGCCAACCAACCGTAGCACGATGATGAACGAATATGCATGACTGCCCAACCGGCCTTAGCACAGTGGTAAATGCATGTATCACTATATTATAAACACTAACATCTTTATTAAATACCTCAATAGAGACTTAGGAACATATTTTAGACATCTCTTTACATGAATGAATAACATAGACATCTTTAATTGCTAAGAGTAGAATCA